TAATTAGGTGACCTTCAATATAGTTCTGGAATTGATTGGTAACATGAATGTACTTCATCATTTCTGAAAAATCTTGGAGTTTTTTATCTCTTTACATTATAATTTGAAAAATTTAATAAGTGAAATGGATAACTTCCTAATAATAATAGTAATAATAATGATTCGGTAAGACAAAAATCGTCAGAAAATTGGAGAAAAAACTGATGAAATTTTGATAATTTTTCGAATTGCATGGACTCTATGCAGACCACAACTGTTGGAGTTCTTGGTGGAATGATACCCTCTCTATTCTTGAATATCAGTATAATGCCAGCTTGCCGCACTAAAGCGGAAATCGTAGGGCACATGTTCCTCGGACCCAATGATCACTTACTCCTCAATGTGAGGAGTGGTCATTTGTGGATGTGATACATGGCTTACCCTGCGGTAAATAATGATAATGAAGCTGCTTATTAATTTATCTATACCACAAAGTACAAATAACAACCTAGCCCAATAAAGGCTACTTACTATAATTACAGAACGACATGTTCACTTCGTATCGTACGTCAAATGCCTATAATTGTACTTTAACAGGACCTCGTTAATATTCAGCTCGCACAAGTTTTGGCGTCTGAGAGTTGTCATTAAAACGATGCAGGGTAACAAAGCTGTTTATGTTTTGATTATGGTAAACGCTCACAGATATAATTCTAAATGTAATATATGATTTTTATTCACTCAGAATTTTTAATATCTCTTCGTGAGGGTTAAGAAAAGTCAACTATTCTCAAGAATATATCTTTGCATCGTTATTAATTTTGAAACAATTATCTATGCTGATGACGTAATAATGATTAATTACTCTCGTTTATAATTGTTGAATATTTATTATTTCTGCGAGGTTACCCGTATACAAAAATAAAAATAAATTATTAGCAGTTTTTCTCAACATCGAAATATCGCTGATAAAGTGATATTTAAAAAATCACATGGCAATTCACCGTACGACTTAGGTACGTACTATCATTGCATGCAGATTCGATAAGAATTTTTTTTTGTTTTTTTTTTTCAACTGTCTGTTAGGTGACAAATTTCAAATAACATCCATGTTGCAAGTGTCTAGTTTCAATTACCAAATGAATCGTAATGAAAAGAAAGTATCAAGTAGAGAGTAATTACCCCGTTCATTTGAATTTGTTAATGATGTAACTTTCAAAACAGAATCGACATTGTGCAATATTGGGCAAACAGTGTGGGAACACATTGCACAATATTAACACGGTATCGGCAGATATTTCGCAAAAATATTCGTCAATAAGTGACAACCTGTTCGTTATTTGTTGAAGAGGGATATTCTATAAATCGCTTTGTGTCCTCATTAATTTGAGTGTTGAAAGAGTTGGTTAAAAGACAAACTAGAAAGACACGTTAGTTTTGTTTCATTTTCATTGTTTTGAAATTTAACTTAACAACATATAAATGGTTGAGAATAAATATTACCAAACAATACAAGAACATATCTCTTCAAGAAAGGTTTTTGGTTTTATACTTATCCTTCTTGATACAATTTTAATATCTCTTTAACTAGTAAAAATTCGTATGCAATGTACTTATGTCTAAATGTTGAAAAAAAAAAAGAAGAATAACATCACATATACACAACTACACATATTGAAACTAGGAAAGGGTTTTTCCAAAAAAAAAAAACAAATACAAGTCGTGTTTTTTTTAACAGCAGGGTAGCTCAAACATTTTCAATAGCAATTGAAATTGACTTGCGGTAGTTTTACATTTCGGCTTAAAAAACGGTTCTTGAATTGCAAAGTATTCCCATATCGTCTGATGAATGTGCAGCTTTTGGAAAAAATAAACCTGATATAGATGGATATTATTCTAAAGGGAGAACATCTCTCAACATCCCCAAAAAAAATTGAACAGCAGAAAGGGTCGATTTGTCATTTGAAATTTCGTCTATTTTCAATAATATTTGATGAAAACTTAAAATAGGGTTCATATAGTAAAAGAAATAAAATACGTTTTAAGATTCTCAAAGTGACCTCCACCCACTTTCACTTTTTCTTACTGTTGATAAGCAACTAAACGACATTTGTATGAGTATAATTTTTGTCACAAATGTTCCAATGCATGTGTCGAGGTATCATCCCCCAAAAAAGTACAATGGTGTCACATCGGGTAATGCGGCTGGCTATTCCACTTCTTCCAACAAATTTATTGTCCAGTCATTATAGTAAGTTCACCTCGGAATTCGAGATACCCAGCTGTAAGTCTGTAAATACTTGTATATTGACACCATAAAAGTTGTCTCAAAACCTACATATGGTAGGGTGTAAGCAACTATTAAATTTCAAGGTCAAAGGTCACAAAAATCGGTTTTTTGCGCTTTTTTTGGAAATATTTCATTTCCTATGGGTTTTTTGCTATTTGTATTTATTATCAATATTGTAGAATACAAAATTCTCTACAAATTTTGTTTAAAAAAATTTTTCATACGGTGAACCGTTTTCGAGATAGGGTCACAGCATCACTTCAGGTCAACCGGTGCCTCCGGTCGAAAACGGGCCATATATAGTTGATGAACTATCGATAATCAATGATTATAAATATTTGTCAATTTTTATTAACATATTTTATCATTTTCTTCATGCATCGAATTCCGAGATTCTTACCTAATTTAAGCTTAAATGACTGGATTATTATTGGGGAAATGATGTAAAAGGACTTGATGAAAATGTAAATTTTCTTTCAGAAAATGTTTGTTTTATTTCTGTTCTTTTGAATTCTTGACAGCTGATCTGGAAATGTTTTTTTTGTCAAAATGGGCAATATATAAATAGTAATATTCATTATTATATTCAGATGATACTTACACAATTAGTGTACAAACATTTTCTTTTTTTTGTTATAAAACCTATTGAGAAATAAATGAATATTCAAGTAACTAGATACTAGAAAATTTAAATCAAATCTATTAGCACGATGAGATTGATTTCGTTTTTCATTTCCATAAATAAATTTAATAATGATTAGGCTGTATAGCTGAAAACTTTATTTGATTTCGTAGTTCGTTAGGATTGAATGATTTCAGTTGGAAATTTCCTTGGATTGTCTCTGTTGAATTATTTTGTCTGCCAACGAAAATAAAACGACTAGAGTCGTTTTCTCTTGTTTTGAATAAGTTTCAACGAGAGCAACGAATAGTTTTGTGGTATTTCAAAAAACTGTGTCCTTTATTACATACAAATATTGTTTTTGCGGGTATTGAAAGCAGGCTTGATTCAAGCGTCCGTTGTTTGGCAACTGAAAACACCGTATTACAATTTTTTTGCTGGATGATTTTCAGCTATAATATCCCAAGGACATTGATAACTAACGAAATAATTTTATCACAGTTTTCGAAAGCACGTTATTTGGTAACATCCCGACGCCGAAGGCGGAGGGATGTTACCTAAAATAACGTGCTTGAGGAAGTTGTGATAAAATTATGAGTTATTTATCAATGTTCGAGGGATATTCGGTGAGAAAATTTTTTGCAATTCGAACAAAATTATTTATTAAACACACAGTTATTAAAAGAACAATTCGTATAATGATATTCCGTTGATCTTGCTGTATTTGCCTCGGTTACTGTTCCTGATCAATTACAACTTTTCTTGTAATAATTTGCTTGTTACATTCCATACGGTTTTAACAGTAGCCTCCTTAAACTCTGTGCTATCCTTTTTTCTCATATTAATCGCCCAATCCTTGAGTATTAATGCAAGCTCTTTGAGAGTACGATTTCCATCCAATTCATATTTTCTGGCGTCACAAAACTCCATAAATATTTTCCAAGTGTATTTTTTACTATTGACAGTATTTTTTGGTGTATTTTCTTCAATGATTTTGTCAATTGCCGCATCATTTTGAACACCAAAGCGAGGAAGTGACATTTTCGAAATAAATTGAATTACTGAAATGTCAAACAACTTTATTGTGTTGGTTGCTTAGCAATGTCATGACATAAGTGATAACTACCCTTGAAAACTATCCATGGGTAGTTATCAGTGTAATGATGGTTTCATTGGTTATTTCGATACGCATGACTAGAAATAGACAAATTTGATAGGATAATTTTTTTGGCAAAAAATTTTCAATTAAAAGAATTTGTTGCCAAATGAAACAAATGCGATTATTGTTCGATTACTATATGTAAAGTTTTATTTTTTCGTTGCAATTCAAGTTTTCGGATTACCAGACCTGTTACGTCATCCTCCCTCTTAAGGGTTGATTTCTGTTATGAGTGATTTTTTTATTGGGAACTTAAATTTAGACTGCCAGTAACCCCGCCCCCAAAGAATTCCGAAAGAAGATTGCTGGTAAAAATGTTTGCGTTGTCAATCAAATCCTAATTTGACTGGGCTATTTTTTTCTTCATGAATAATTTGTTCCAACGAAGAAAAACGAAATATTTATATTTGCCAGATCTGTTACTGTTGTTACGTCTTCCGCCATCTTCAATTTAACAGTTGATTTATGTTTATTGAATAACTCGTTTAGTTTCAATTTTACACGAAAAACAGTCATTATAAAAGATGTTGAAAATCAAATTGTCTACAATTTTGCTTTGCATACATTTTGCCTAGAATCAATACCCAAAATGAGGGACTGATTTTTTATTGGGAACTTGAGTTTAGACTGCCAGTAACCGCCACCCAAAGAATTCCGAAAGAAAACTACCAGTAAACATTTTTGCGTTGTCAAATCCTAATTCGACTGGGCTGCTTATGTTTCCTAATGAATACTTTGTTGGAACGAACAAAAACTGTTCATATTTATATTCGCCAGATCTGGGAATTTATCTTGCTCAAGTGTAATGATATTCCTGACCCGTTCAGTGGATAATTATCAGAAGTGATAACATGTTTTGTACGATAAATCCTTTGTTCTACATTATCGGGGCGGTTTCGAAAGGGTGGCTGATTGTTATATGTCGTAACGATTTTTTCTTTTGTTTTCAGGTTCGAGAAGCACTGGTTCCCAAATTTACCTACGAAGGGACAAGCTTATAGATGTATAAGGGTAAATTGTGTGAGTCCGGTAGATGAAACGTTATTGATAGCTGCTAACAAATGTGGTTTCAAATACGACGATTTGAGGTTACCTACAGAAATAACAGTGTGGGTGGATCCTAATGAAGTTTGCTATAGGTGAGTCGAACTTTCTTTGTACAATTTGGGAAATTCTGTATTCGGGAGAAGACATTTTTGCGAACCGTTTTTCGATTTCGGCGTTAAAAAAATGAAGTCAATGTCCGGAAAATTTATTCTTCATTTCAGTTCTAATATGGGGAGATACTAAAGGCGCACTATCAAAATAGTCAACGCAATATTTGAAGTAAGCATTTTTCTCTACGATGATACCGTGCACAAAATATTGGGGTAGGTATTCCACAAGGTACAGTTATGGGGCCAATGTGATATTCACGTTAATGGAATTAATTTTCTGGAGAGTATTTGTGGGGACACAACTTACTCATCAATTGAATATTTTATCAAAAACAAATTTAAATCCTCCCGAGATTTGAGTTGAAAACAAATAGACTTTTATCTGAGAAATTTTTCAGGTCGAGTGGTATTCGTAAAGATTAGTTCCTGAAATATTCTCAGCTGAATGCATCCATATAATTGAATAGAACTTGATGAAAATCCATATTAAAACTCATTAATACAGTTTATTGTATGATTTTCACTATAAAGGGTTTTACAAAATCCGCGACACGTGTTTCGCTATGCAATCTTTTTCAAGCGTGACATATTTTACGCTTGAGAAAGCGTAAAAGAAAGCATTTATATCAATTCTCAAATTGAGTAATGTAGGAAAATATGAAAATAGTACGTAAATGACTAAACTCGTATGTGTCAACAATATGATTTCATTGTTAAAACCTTTCGTGCCTTAATGTGAGACCGCAAAGCCGTCACCCGACTCACTTGACGCGATTAGATGCATTAACTGTACGTCGCGTATTCTTTTCGATTTCAATGAAATACTAATCAAATTATGTTAATTTTCGGGGTAGAAAGGTTTTGGCTTTCATATTCATACAAAAAATGTGAGAAACTTAAAAAATAAAATTTTTATAAACATCTATGATGTATACATTATTATACAGGGCTATTCAAATTCGTTTCTGTACATGGGGATCTCGTAAACGATAAGAGATAGAGTGTCGGTTAAATTGTGGCAAAGTTGCGTATCTTGGAGACCTATTCAATGATGTAAAAAAATTGAACATAGCTCTTTTGGCTCTGGATATATACACGAAAAAACAAAAATTGTGTTTGCCTATATCTTCTTTATTCGCAGACATATTAAAAATCTGTCCACGTTTTGCTATTGTCACTTGATGTCCATGCTATGTCCATGAATCTTTTATACAGTGTGTAATCTGACTTGGGCCACCCCCATCTGAGAAGTGGAAGTTGCTATTGTGTTTTTATTCAACTCAGTAAACCAATTTCCAGGGCCGTAATTTAAAAGGGAATAATTCACCCAATTATAATCAAATATTACCGAAATATAAAATAAAATTTAATTTCTCAGTATGAAGTGAACGTCTACGATCCAAAAACTACAAAAAATACAGGTCCGTATTTAAAAATTCATAGATCCCCATGTACAGAAACGAATTGGAATAGCCCTGTATATAAATATTTTTGAGATTTTGGATTGCTGTCAAAGTATTTTATCCTTTTTCTTCTTCTTCGAGATAGAAATAACCTACTACTGTTTTGGATTGCCAGCCTCAAACATGTATAAATATTGAATCAAATCAAAATATATTTTGTTGTCTGAATATTTTAAATATTTGATGAAATACAGTTTCTAAATACCCACGCTATTAAGAAAATCTCTAAAATAATCCTGTAAATTATAATAGGTTTCTATCAGCTAGCAAATTCATCTCTTTTTTAAAGTAGAATATCCAGGTACGTATAAATTATTTCAACTTGATATAGGCGCTGGTGCCAATATATGAATTAGAAACAAATCCCTTTTGAAATTAAAACCCAACATTCGAAACATCAATTTGAATACTTTTCAAAGTGAATTTGAAAAATTCATGAATTAAACTCAACTTTATTTTGTTCAAACTTGCATTTGCTGTAATAACTCAAAATGAGAAACATTCCCCATTCCCTATCGATCAGTATATACCATGACACAGCAGAATAAATATTAATTGAGATATGGAGCTACAAACTTTTGAAAAACAATTTAATATCTTCCCAGATGACCGTTCAAACCCCCCTACCTGAAATATTACAATATTTCAGACTTGCAGAGAAATATGCATCAGGAAACCGTCCATAGTCGTTGACCATTGCTTATTGGTGCATACCTACTATAATGACTTTCATATATTCATTACTACTACTGGTGTGTTGGTTGTAAAACTGATATGCATATATTTTTAACCGGCGCGTTGAACTATAGAGTTTTATATCGTTTTGGCTTCGTGCCAGATGGGTGAATTCGCCTTCTATGAGGATTTCGAATAGTTTGTGTGTACGTTCGGTTTCCTGGTTCGGCCAATGATTAAAATACTGACTCACACAATTAACGGGAAACACATTTGTGATGAATAATATCATTTCACAACGCAGAGAGTATGGAGAGTGAATAGTCCAAGGTCACTTGTAATCAACCAGTTTCGAAAAAACCCAAAACTGAAACAATGTTTGTACTTGGAGATGAGTTCAGAACGTTTTTGTTAGAAAATCAGTTCGAATGAACTCTTATTTATTCTTATCCGTGTTATAATGCAAAATATACTCAGTTTTACACAAACTTTGTAATTTTCTTCTGGAAATAATAAAATCGATGATTATCAGTGACGGCTCGTGCATTGGAGAACAGGGGAGGCTTAAGTCATTTAGACTATACACACAGAAAAGCCCGCCGGAGGCTCGAAAATTTTTATGTTGTTGCACGCTTTGCTTAATACTAAAGTTAGGGCATGGGCATGACAATGCGTAAAAAGTGCATGAGGAGCTATGGACTTTATTTTAGTTTGTAAATCATTTAAAAGGCCGGTCATGACCGCAGCCACATCATAAGTTTGCACAATTAACTTTTGCCTAAAATTATAAGTGTCACACGTACGAATTAAAAAATTAAACAAATCGTCAGCTGTGCGCCCAGATGAAACGTCATGAAAACCCATAAAACGTTCTACCACATTACCATCTTTGACATATCTAAAAACGATTGAAAGTTGTGATGTACAGGTAATATCAGTAGTTTCATCAATTTCCCATGCAAAAAAAGGAAACACTTTCAATCTCCTTGCTTATATTTTCCTTAATAATGTATGCCACACTGTCTATAAGAAGCTCATTTTGGATGGTTTTTGAGGTGCCCGTAAAAACGCTACCGTTTGAAAAAGTGCCAAATTGTTAATCATATTTGCCCCATAACACGAGGTAAATTTTTTAAATCGGAGTAGCCTATTTTAGACCACGTTTGGTATTCGGTTTGTACGGAAAATAAAACACAGGATCAACAAAAAAGTTTTTCTCGTTTAATGAAGCCGGTTAACCAATCGCATTTATCGTACCATTTGGTTGAGGCCTTCCCAGAGTTTTAATAATGTAAAATTGATATTATCATAAGATAAAGACTTGAAATTATTTGTCAGCAACCAAACGACTATATCGTCAGATTTTTTAATTTCGTCCAACTTATCCATAATAAATGAAAAAAAAAAACTTACCGAAAAGTGAAAACCTGAAAACGCCTTGAAATTGAAAGAAATCACTCTAAAAACACATTAAAAATATTACCAAAAAGCACTGCCTGTTTTATGCACAAATAACAAATATTATCAAGAAACACCAAAACGATTTACCGGAATATTTTTTAGTCCCGATCCGTCACGTTATCCCGTCCGGGACGTATGTCGCTGGTTGGATCGGTCTCGTGGAGCCTGTGTTTTTTTAAAGCGGTCGGAGGCTTGGCTCCCTTGCAACGTATGGCATTTATTATTTCGGGTTGATAGTTTATTCGTTATTCGTTCATTGGCGGTGCGTTTGAGTTTTGTTGATGCAGGATACAGTATGGTACGTACTACGTAGTGAGTGATAGTGTTTTTTCGGGCATGTTATGTATTTATATTAAAAATTAATGGTAAAGTAATGATAGCCAAGCATTTTTAGAAAAAAATAATTTCCCTAATTTCTACATTTTTCATTTCCCCAGAGGAAGTTATGTATGCGTTAGAGTTTTCATTATCATATATTTCTTGAACCCATAGAATCTTTATAACCGGCAAAGAATTATCTTTTGAATTATTATAATCGCGTAAGTGAATTTGTAAATAATCTTATGAGCACCATAATCCCATGCTTCGAGTTTTACAGGGTGTAATTGAATAAGTGTAAAACATTTTAAGGAGGTGATTCCTCATCGAAAAAAAGATAGGACCTTTCGTATAAAGAAATTTCATTGGAGCATCCCTTGTTATCAAATCTTTTTTTCGACGAGGAATCACCTCCTTAAATGTTTTACACTTATTTAGTTACACCATGTATATCGTTTGACTTAGTACTTAGTACACTCAGTAATGATATGGACTTAGCTTCATACATGAACATTACAATATCATCTCTATGTTATGGCATCTTTTATTTGTGTCAACGAGACGGATTGCTTTCACCATGAACAGTTATCATAAATTCAAAGCTATTAAAAACAACAAATTCGAATAACAAGATACCATTGTCTGAAATTTAAATTTGAATATTCGTGCAAGGATAATCTATGAACGGCAATGTTCAAGCTGCAAACGCGGCGGAGGAGTTTGTCCTTAGACATTTCACTTTCTTAATGATATTGAGCATGATTAATATTTTACCCGGAAGTGTTGATAGAACTCTTGAACAAATTATTGTTTCAATTCGCACGGGTGACAACTTTATTAAAAAATCTAACGTACACAAGCTAACATTTCTTACTTCCTATTATACTCAACAGTTATTTCAAAAAATTAAGTTTATGTTCAAATTTCGCAGGCTTCGTAGACCTCACGATCTGATCTCCACAAACTGTATTTTCAAAAAATATATCGTGACATGTTTCGCTATCACAGTCGCTTTTTAGTAGTAATCATGCTTCAGCCACCTTATTCACCAGATTTGACCCCTTG